GCGTTGCAATGCGGCCAGATCGCGTTCGTTCGGTGCTTTTCCAGTGGACCAATGCCTCGCGTATTCCCGAGTCACACGGGGATCGAACGCGAATTGCTCAAACATAGTCGACGGTAGTTCGGCTAAATCCGTACTACAACTAACCGTTGGAGATTAGAAGAAAAAAAGTAAGCTACAGTTTGTATTGTAAACATGACGGTTTATTCGATCACGACTGCATGAAAAACAAAACAAGGCAACCAAATACTGCGTTCAGTTTCATTAACGTAATTTGACAGTTTACTTCTCCTAAATTGAAACACTATTTGCACAGAATCAAATGATACATTTGCATAGCTTTTTTGATACACCATCCACCACACGACGAAGAACCTCGCCATTAATCACCGGGTTTTCCCACCAGACACGAGCAATGCGTCGCAGACATCGGTGGTCAAATACAGAGAGTCGATTAGCATCCTCAACTCGGAGGAGCCAGGTCTCGCAATCGTAGAGGAGAACGCTACGAACCCTTGAAGGAAAGTTGGATGTCATGGCGGCGCCACAGGTGTCGTAGGTTGGTGAAAGCTGCTCTAGCTTTCGCTATTCGTGATGTGATCTCCTCCCCAACACTCCCATCAGCTGCGATCAAGCTCCCGAGGTACTTAAAGCTCTCAACTACTTCCAGATGACCACCACAGATGGTGAGTGCAGGCACAGGCTTCTGCCAGTCTTGAACAAGCACTTTGCACTTTGATGGTGCAAAGCACATACCATACCTGGATACCTCTATCGCCAAGCGGTTCAAAGCGTTTTGGACTGCCTGTGTGTTGTCACCAAGCAAGGCGATATCATCGGTATATTCCAAGTCAAGAACTCTGTTCCCTGGGAGGAGTTCGACTCCACCGTTTGCTAGACCGGACAAAACATTCTGTGGAACATCCTCTATGGTGAAGTTGAAAAGAAATGGGGATATAGGGCAGTCTTGTCGAACTCCATTGGAGACGGTAAAAGGTGGTGAAAGCTGGCCATAAGCCTTAACCCGACCCGGGGTAGGGCGATACAACTGTTTGAGGATCGACACATACTTCTCTGGTACTCCATTCATCAGCAAACACCTCCATAGTGCGCTTCTATCAACAGAATCGAAGGCCGCGCGAATGTCTAAGAACACAATGATCGTTGGTTTACGGTAAGCATGACGGTGCTCAAGCGACTGTCGGAGGTTGAAGATTTAATCGATGCATCCACGACCGACACGAAACCCAGCCTGCTCCTTACGGGCATGTTCCTCGCGCGTTTTGTACAATCTACGAAGAATGACGGAGGCTAACAGCTTTGACGCCATCGGGACAAGGTCTATGCCCCTATGATTGGCGCAATCATTGCGCCGACCCTTTTTAAAGATTGGTACGACAATCGATTCTCCCCACAAAGAGAGGACCTGTTCAGTGTTCCAAACTTTGGAGAACAGGACGTGGAGTTCTCTAACAAGCTTTATTCCATCATCTTTAAATAGGACTGGGGAAAGACCATCGGAGCCCGGCGCTTTGTGACGTCCCAAGGCTTGGATCTCCTTATGGATTTCCGCTTCAGAAAGTGGGTCTATTGAAACAGACCATGGGACGTGTACCGGAATAGCTGTGTCAGAAGCTGGCGCGGGTCGCCAGCGAAATTGTGCTTTGAAGTGCTCCGTCAGGCGTGCAAGACGTCGCTGTTGATTGTGAATAAGCGAGCCTTCAGCTTCATAGATCGTCCCGCTTA